GTCTGTAGCTCGTCTCTTCCGTCATTCTCGTCGGGCTGGCAACAGACGCAGTGCCTCATCTCTTGTTGCCATTCGCAATTGGCCCCCACAGCCTGCAGTTCTATCTATCTCTCTCTCTTTCTCCCTCTATCTGAATCTCTGGATATCTCTAGCCTCGTATCTACTCGCCTTGTGTCGTCTCGGCCGAGGCGAGATTCAGAGATGCCCGAGGCTGGGAGGCGAGGCGGGTTCGATCGTGTGTCGTCAAGCCCTAGTCACTAGTCGTCAATTGCTAGGCCTGGTAACTGAGCCTCGATCATCCGATCTTCGTTGTCGTCGTCTTTTTGCCCATTCTAAGAGGCCTTTTCCCGACCGCCTCCAGCAAAGTCTTGTGGATCAAGTGAAGACTGTCTTGAGGAGGCGCAAACTTTGCCCTCCAACAATCCAGTCGAACAGCGTTTGTCAGCCTCCAACAGCCGCAAGGGGTTAGGCGTAACCACGGCGAATCCAATCAAGACGCTGAGCCAATTTCGGCTCTTCCACTCCACCAGCTCCAGTTCGGAGGCTCCGAGGCCGACGAACGATCCGCTGACGAGCAATTCGGACGTCGATGCGGCCGGACCGGTGGTCTCTGAGGCTGGGGCAAATGCTGAAATGGGCCAAGAGGTGATTGCCTCCCCCGCGGTTCGTCAATCGAAATGCATCCTTCTCACCGGTTTCGGTGGGCCACGCTACGTCCGAGTTGAGCTGAAAGATGATCAGCCCGTGGGGCATGATGAGGTGGCAATCAGAGTTAGCGCTTGGTGAGTAGAAATGTCTATAATCCAGCCACATGCAGACATGCACTCAGGCATACATGTGCACATGAAGTCAACAGAGCCTTGACCTCCGCTACCACATTCCACTTTCCGCCTCAACACGGCAAAAGGTCAGAAATGGTGAAGAGGTATCGCTTGGATATTTCGTTAGTGAGTAGGCTTTAAAGACTATCAGTAAATCATATCTATGAGTTGTGTTCACCGTATTTCGTTTAAGAACTGGTAGATGAATTTTTCCACAATGATACGAAGAAGGCTGACTTTTCCAATGAATTTCACATATTTTTGCTTCCCAAAAGATCTTCTCATCTAAGGTGGACTGCAGCTTCGATCTTGCCTAGGTCTTATGAACACCGTCAGCGGGATTCGTACCATGACAGTGTAGCGTGTAAGCTCGACACGTTGACCACAACACCACATCGCCACCAGTGCTATTGCGT